CAGCAGGGGCCACCAATTTTGAGTGCTTGACTGAACAAATACATGCAGGGCTTCAAGCTGAACATGAGAATACAGCAGTGGCATAAATTAGTGGTTTCTTTTGAAAATGCGGTTGTGGAGTGAGGGTGGCTGGAAAGGCAGCAGCGACAGCACTAGAGCTCAGTCACTTCTGTCTCCTGGCTTACTGCTGAAATCTTACCTCTTTCTAAAGACCTTGTCCAGAAATCTCTGTTTACATGAGAGCTTTAAGCTTTAAGACTGCAAAGAAGCACAATGAAGTATTGTCATACTACATAGTCCACAGTGTGAGGAAGAAGTTTTCTGCAAATTATTTACCCTATATAGATTTAGAAGCAATTAGCTTTGATGCACCTGGATACCTGGGAGGGTATCACTTGCTGTCACACAGAGGACTTAAGTCAAATAGATGAACATCTGAGCTGGGTTAGTAAGAAATGCAACAGTGTTTACTAGCAAACGGGAAGTTTCAATTTCTGCCAAACTTTTGCTCCTTTTACTCCTTTGCTGTATCCTAACTGACACACAGGGTCTCCATCTCCTAAACTAGGATTTTCTGTCCTTAATAGGACAGCGTGTAAAATGCCAACCCTGATTATCCATCAGGTTTCCTAGTTGCCAGTCCTACAATATCAGTCTCTTGTATCAGTCAGCTCATTTGGGGGTTGCATGAGCACAGTTAGTGTAAGATAAATTGCCCTAATCACTGAAAGTAGTTACACTAAGTAATTTTGAACACAAACTTCAACAGTTTGTCGGACGCATGAGCATGGAGTCTTGGAAAACAAAGTCTGTGCTTACACAGAGAATTATTCACTAAAATCAGAAAATAGTTACTTATCTTTATTTTATTTTTAAGAATAATATTTATTTTTATTTTATTTTATTATTTTGATATTATTATTTTACATTATTATTCATTAGGATGAGGTAAACAAATAAGATGATCCATAGATGGATGTTTTTTCTTTCCTCTTTGGAGCTGATTGTGTTACCATCAGTTTCTATATTTCACCTATGAAACTGGATAGTACTCTTAATTTGAAGGTTTCTGGGCAGCCATGTGTGAGGAAATAGATTGGAAAAGATACCATTTACATTTATGTAATCAGCACACATGGATAAGCGTCCCTATTCAGGCAGCAGGAGATGTGCCATCTACAAATGCTCTAGCCTCTCTTCGCTGGGAGAGTCACGCATTCCTAATTTGGCAAGCTGACAGCAGCTTTATAACCCCTACTTCCCTTGGTGAGGGGGGTGACCACGGTGGCTGCTGAGGCAGTGTCCTTTATTGGTGCTGTTAAATCTGTAGCGATGTGTCAGCATCTGAGCCTTTATGAAGCTTCTCTAATTCTGGTAATCCAAGTGAAAGGGCAGCTTTTGGAGGAATACGGCATCTCTCTCTTTCTGGCTCCCTTGTGGAAGGGTCAGGAGTGAAAAGGGAAGTGAAGAACAGTAACAACCCCAAAGCTGACACTACACAGTTCAACATCTCAAGCAAAATATAAAAAAGAAAAAAATAAATAAATAAAGGAAGATGAATGAGGAGAGGAAAAGAGAACATTGAAACTTGCTTTTAGCAGTCTGCCAAACAGTTGCCAGGTTTGCATTTGGGTAATCGCTATCCGACAAGAAGGGCTGTTTGATGCACTTGTGATGGACTTCTAGCTCAGCCCTTCTCCAGCAGAGTTGCTGAAACACTCTGGTACATACTAGGAAAAAGTAGGAATTACTACCACAGTAGCAACACAATTTATGTATTACTTTGAATCCCTGAAGTCAAACAGTGAGTCTTACAGACTTCATACCCAACTTGCTAAAACAGTAACTGTGTCAGTTTTAATGTCAGTAAGGTGCTACTACTTTCAAGGTTTAACCTTTAGCTGTCTGCACTGGGTTACAGTAGAGCTGCTTCAGCAGGTAGTGAAATGTTGTGCCCAGTGTGTTTCGTTACAAATGTAAAGTGATGCTTCTCTTTATCCTTTGGTTTCTGCGACAGAGAAGATGATGTGGCCAGGCTCATAAGGAGCAGATATTCATCATCAGCTTGAGGTAGTGCCATTGATTTCCATCAGAACAATATGAAATGAATAGGGAAACCTGCTTAAAATCGATGTCACATTGGAGCCCAGTATTGTCCTCAGAGCCAGGGATTCAAATCACCACGGGTGTGCCTGAGAGTCTTTCAACTTGCTCCTCGGCTCTCAAGACCAGGCACAGTGCTGGGCTACATGGTGTCATGTCCCATTAAGTCACTTCACATATGACATGATGCAACCTGACATAACATGTTTGGAGGCTTGAAAGAACGTTATCTCTGTGTCCACAGGCGCTGAACAGCAAGCTACTAAGCCTGAGCATGCAGGCGGTGATTCAGGGGATCAGTGAATAGGGCTTTTCTTCTCTTTTGGGGAGATTACATTAAGGCATAGTCATGAATCATTTTTCACTTACTTTACATAAGTCATACTAGGAGTCCTAAAATTCAGATTTTATGCCTTTAGATACATTTTTGCACCTCATAAGAATTAGCAACCATGTAGAGAACTCGAGCAAACCCCAGGACTCCAATGCCAGTACAGACATCTAGGTTTGGAAAAACACTCCTTTTGGTATTAGATATATAAAACCTGGAGTCAGTGCTAATTGAGAACTTTTACTTATGCTAGAAATAGGTTTATGCTTATCTAACATAGACCTATTTGTATGATGAGTGAGGAGGATGCAAGGGACTGAGTGGTGACCTACTAAAATTAGTAAATGTAGATTCTGTTTCTATCTTTGCCTGTGACTGTGTATGTGATGCTTATGAACTGATTTTTCTCTCTGGGCCAGAGATGGTGAAACAGTATCATACAAGATTAGCAGATGTCTACTCATTTAAAGTATAAGGTTTTCTCAGTCATGTTTTCTGTGCGATGATTTAATTCTCACCATAAATAAGCTTCAGAATAAAAGATAATTTGATTTTGAAATAATCAAAATTTTTTCCTGTTCAGAAAATGACAAATCAATACCCTTTGACAGTTTTGATATTTTCACCAAATGGAAATTAGGTGAAATCAACCCTGTCAACTCATGTATTCTGATAAAAAAAAAGCAAAGAAAACCAAAAGCAAAGTTCCTTATCAAGTTTTCCTCCTAAATTGCTTGCGATGATCTATTCATCTCCAAAGAAGGCAGTTAGCTTTACTAACTGTCGAATATATACCCCACTTGAAATTTAGTTGTTACAATACATTGGCATTGAAAACCCATGCATAAACTACTACAGGAATACATGCATCAACATCCCACCCCCATCCTCCTAAATTTCTTCCCTGGTAGATAGGTACATGAAGAACAGTTGCCGGCATTTCAATCTCTATGTCTAACCCTGTTCGGGGTGGGTCTAGGTCCATGGCTCCAGTTCAGAGGGATGCGGAAATTCCACATGGGACACGGGTGGCAGATGAAGGAGGCCTCACCCAAGCAAGGTCCCCTGGGTGTGGCACTGGCCCAGGTATCCCCACCCAGAGGTCCTCCAACAGGCTCTGCGGCACAGCAGCCGCAGAGAAATCTACAGGGCGGGGGGGATGAGGGGCTGGCGTGAGGCTCAGCTTTATTCAGGGTGCAGTTCTCCCTTCTCTGTACACAGCAGCATCGGAAATCTTTTGGAGGGGTTGCCCTCCCACTTCCGTTCATTCTGCTTTGTCTGAGCTGTCTGCCTGAGCGCTGGTCGCAGTACCCTAATTCCTCCTGCAGTCTCTATTTGCAGTAAGCCTAAATGCTTCTGTATCACCTGCAGAGCAACCCCTCCAGCTACGTGGGGTGAGAAATGAGCAGGGCGCATCACAGCTGTAGGTGCCGTGATGAAAACTGACCATTTCTTTACCACGGGACAACAGACCAGTGCGTGCAGTGCTGTGAAGCCGTGGGAGGCAACAAGCATCACTCATGGCCTCTCAAATGCTTCTTGCTCAGGTGTGGGTTCAGAGGTTTTGAGACCCAGGCAGATTCCCTGTTTGATTCTCCCCTCTCCCTCTCTCACGTGGTATCCATGTCTTTTCTACTTACATCAGTGTACATGCTGAAAGCATTCCTGATTCGGAGTGAGATGTTTCAGTCCAGAGCATTCAGAAACTCACAACTTATTTTGTTTAGGTGCCTACTCTTTGATCAGCTGCAGTCACAAGCACCTGTGTGCATCTTCTGGAATGAGCAAGTGAGTGAATGTGCCTCAGAGCCTGCTGTGTTCAGGAGAAGGTTGCAATTCCAGCTGAATCAAACCAATTATACTGTCACCTTTTATTAAAGGCAGAAATAAAAATTTGTGCAGGAAACACAGGTAAGCTATACCATGCTGAAAGCTCTTTTTTTATGCATGCACACATTTACTACATGTAGAAATACAGAGATATACCTATAGACCAGCTTATCATAAGATGTAGACATGAAATGTGTTTCTTTTTTAACTAGTTCGTTCTGTTCATTATTTAAAGACAGTTTTATATTCATGACCTCATTAATTTAACAGGTTAACTGCAAGAGAGAAATGTTTTTAATTTCATCTAATCATGAATACCTCTGGTTGCTCATCTAGTGACAAGAAAGGAATTGCATTATTTTGTTTTAAAGATGAGGGATTCAATGTACTCTGACAAAACGTGGCTAGTGTTTTCACACTGAAACCATTTTTACCATATATTTTTCCAGTCTGCATTTCCATAACTGACAGCTCTGAGACAACCCATATAAAGATCAGTCATAAATAATAGCTCCAGTAAGGGTATATATACTGTGCTATCACCATCCCTTGTTACTGGAGTAGTCACTCTTTTATGAACCAGTAAAATAAAATACTTTTACCTGTTGACTGAAGGCTTAATATTTTTTAGAAGTGCAAAGATTTCACCGTGTCCATGAAAGCCAGCTGCACGTGCTTCACACTTCCCTAACACCTAAACTCTGTTTTCCAACTGGTTGAAAGGACAGAGGGAAGAAACGGAGACAAGTTCCCATGTACCGAGCTTCCCGTCATCTGGCTAGATGAAAAGGCACGCTGATAGATGGTGAAATATAGTTCTCATAAATTTTTTATCAAGGAAGGCAGGAGATGCAATAGCTTTTATACTACACTTTAACCTAACTTAGAAGCAAAATGAATAGCACATTACTGAAGCAGTACGAGAAAGGAAAATGCAAATCCCCCAAACCCCTGGATAATTAGTAACTCACCCAGCTCTGCACTCTTTCTAAATGTTGCATTAAATATGTACATGGAATTCTGATTAACCGTTCGACTGCTGCCAACATTTCTCTCCATTTGTATGGGCTTTGGACAGATTTCTGTCATGGAAAAAAATGTTTCACATATCAAATATCAGTCTCTGCTATTGTAATTTTCTGCAGTTATTCTAAATTGAGTGAGTCCAAACTGATTTTGCTACCTGAAAAAATATGACCTCAAAGTGTGTCTAATGGCACTCTGATAACAGGAAAACATAAAACTTAGAAATACATGTAGGTGACTTTCAACGGTAAAGGAAGTACAGCAAGTCCCACCTTTTGTGTGGGGGAAAATCAGTCATTAAGTGGCAGCAGACACTCAATTTACCAGGGGAGCTGTTCCAGACATACCACAGTCATTTTGGTTTGGTTTTTTTTTAATATGCTATTGATTTTCTAAGCAGTTGAGTATGGTTTATAATAGCAATAACTTGCATGAAGCCAGCCATTACACAGGGTAACACCTAGTTTATAGAACATTAGCTTTTGCCTCTAGTAGTTAACTGAGAAACAACATCGAAAGCAGGGGGGGGAGGTGAGTTTTTGTTTGTTTCTTTCTTTTGGTGTTACTAATGAGTAACATTAAGGTGAACATCATGTGCTTATTTTCAGCTGCTTTTGGAGTGGAGGGAAGATATAAATTATCAACCATCCCTTTCTTTTCTTTTAAGGCATTAACTGGCCAGTAGGTTTGCAGCTGGAACTGGATCACATACAGGCTGCATTTCATCAACTTATTTAAGCATGTGTTTACTCCCTACCGGAATTACATGCACTGAAAATTAAATATGCATTTAAAGGCTTGGGATGAATTAGGCTGTTTAAAGGAGCTTTGGTTCCTAAGTGAGAAGTGGCAAGGGATTATTTGTGTGTATCCTAACTTGAAAAATTGGAACCTGGTCTTCATGTTTTCCCCTAAAGCAAGTAGAATACTGGCCAATTTATCACATGCATTAGATGTGAATAATTTGGGGTTGTATTCAATTCTGATACTATTAAGAAGCCTTAAGAAAGTTATTCCTACCCTGTTAAAAGAGATATGAATCTTAAAAACTACAAAGTACACAAATTATTACGAAAGCGTATTTCAAGTGTTCCACACTGCAGGCTGTCACTGTCATCTTCTCATGCACTGATACCTGCCCTGCAGCACTATGTACTGGCTTTACCTCTCTTTCTCGGTTTTATCTTTTTTTTTAGCTTCTTTTTAATAAGCATATTGCTTTTCAACACATTTAGTATGCAAGTTTAGTGAAATGGTCATGTTAGTTATTGATGGGTGTAGCTAATGTACTATTATTCACCTTATTACAGAGAATGAAAGTCAATATTTTTTAATCCTGGAACCACAAAGCTATTTATGCTGTGGTGTCATCTCTTGTACTGCGTCCTAATCTGTTTTCACAGAGGTTTGAAGTGTTCCAGAATAATTTTTTTGGTTTATCTCCCTATTGGTTGTTTCATTTTAATATATATGTGCTAGTGTTAATAGTTTTGACAAAACATATCCACTCATTATATAAAACATAGCAAAATTTCATACTCCTATTTTGTTTAAAATATGTTCAAGTCGACTGACAGTTACTTAGAGGCACAGACTGTGAAAACCTCCAGGCTGGGGGATGCTCTGATCCGTAGATCTGCATTACTACAATAGTAATAAAGATCATTTGCAAAAACTTGATTTCTGTACTTCAGTCTGAGGTGGTTGGTTCAGACCTCTAAGCTCATGTGCTTTGATCAGTACCTGTAAAAAACTATATGTTTAAGGAAGACATTATTCATAGGGAAGGCTGTTCTTTCTCTTAGAAGCCTGAAAATTTAAATAGCAGCCATACAATTCTCATCACTTGCAAAATTGAAATATATTATGTGGTTTTTAGGGGAAGGACTCATTTGGGGGTTTTGTTTTGTTTTGTTTTTACCTGAATGCATGATATACACAAGATGTAGCACCCTTGAGGATATATTGATGAACGAACTATGAAAGCAAAGGGCCTGTAAGCTTTTAGGCTCTGTCTATCAAGCCTGATATTTTGACCACTGCAAATTATAGTCTTCTACTTTTGGCGCTGGTTTTGGTAACTTTTCAGTGATAATTCAGTGGATCTAGAAGAGAGCTCTAGCATTCAAATTACAGTTGCAAGGTAGGTGAAATCTAAGCTCTAAATAACTTCACACTGGTTGTAGAATAGTTTATTATGACATCTCAAAAACTGTGTTTGGATTAACTTAGTGGAGCTATTAATTACTTTCTGTACTTATTACTTTTAATACCATTTCTATAAGCTTTGGAATTAAAAATGTAAATAAGATATTAAGCCGCCTAAGTATTTAAAAGGTTTAAAAGAAAAAAGGCTTACATCACTGTTTAGTGTTTCAGTGACCTGCAAAGGACAGATAACAGCGAAGACCAGCAAAATCAGACATGCACTGCAAAAAACCAGTAACTTGTTATCATGACATATTAACACATCATGTACCTCTCACTCTTATAAATTCTGATTATATTTTGGTAAAAATATTGTACTTTTCTCCATATTGTGATTCAAATACAAATGTCTATAAAGAAGCATGGTAAATTGTTGGTGGGTGGATACCTTGATTTCTTTTAGACTGAAGAGTAAAAGCAGAATGAGAAAGGGGAGACAGCACAACTGAAGCTATGGAATTGGAAAGAGTAGAATGTACTAAGAAGAAGTCATATTGAGATGTCTGAATCTATAACAGCAAGTTCTGGTTAGGTCAACACCACATTAGATTTTGTTGCCAGCATAGCATATTTTCCATATTGAATATATTTTTTAAATCTATCATTTTCTTCAGAAAAAGAAAACTCATCAACTTCCATATAAACTGTCCTATAAATAAAAAAAAAAAATAGTAAAACTCCGGTTTGAAATTCAGCCCTGGTGCAGCAATGAACAAGTGCATATTCTGCTCCCATTTACTTGAGCGGAACTTCATACATACAATGACTTCAATGGGGTTTGCCTTGTTCTGAGGTCTATTTGTATGTTCTCCATAAGAATTTTCACATTTAATATCTGAATACAATGTTTTAGGCTTCTTATCACCAAAATAAAATAAAATGCTGCATGCTGCTTTTTTGAACTGGGGTCTTAGTGTTTATTGCTGAAAATATTTCAGTATTTTTTATACCTTTATTTTTTCATTTAGGTTAGTTGTGGACTAGAATGTATGGTAAACTTAAAACATGATCTCAGGCTGCTG